GTAGATCTCATATTTATACAAATATGGAGAAACTAAATAGAACTAGACCATTGTAAGTGGGAGAAGTTAATCTACACGTTGAAGATGAGCAACAGTTGCTGCATTGCCTGTAGGAGCATACTTCTCGCCATTGCCTTTTGGTTTTGTATTGAAATTAGAGAAATGTCGCTTTGTACCCACCATAGCTGGAACATTAAAATGAATTTCATGTTTGGACATGAACTATTTTAATATTAAGGACAATTATTGTTCTTGTTTATCTTAATAAAGATCCTAACGGCTATGGTAAATTACAAAACAACGTTTATATTCTTTAATAAGGATTCAACAATGAATAGAGAAATTATAAGGCATAAATGCGATAATCTAATTATTATCGAAATCTGGCATGGCAGACTTTGTTATATAGATGAAATACAATTCCAAAGTTACATAAAGATGTATACACGAGATTAATTGATTTTGACAAGTACAAATTTTGTATGTCTGGCACAATGACCAAATCTTCTTTTACTTGAAAAGAAGAAAGGTCAGCATAATTACTGCTCTAATGCATAGTGATGCATATGGACTCATGTCAATTGATGTCAGGTAATGTTCATCTTATTTCATCAATGATCATGTATACCTAAAGAAACTCAAACATGAAGCTCTTGAAAAGTTCAAGAGATTCAAACTAGAAGTAGAGAAACAAATAAGTAAAGATACCCTCACATTAAGATTCGATTAAGTGAGAGTATATTAAAGATAAAATCTAGATTATCTAAAAGAGAATGAGATTCTCTTACAGTGGACTCCTCCACATACACTGCAGCATAGTGGTGTATCTAAAAGGAGGAATCATTAACTATTAGATATAGTGCGATTAATAACAAGTCATACAAATCTCTAAAAATCGTTTTGGGGTCATGCACTGATTGCAGTGTGCAACACACTAAAACATGTCATATATAGGTTGGTTAACAAAACTCCATACGAGTTATGGAAAGATAATTGTCTCAATTTATCTCATATGAAAGTTTTGGGCCATAACGCTTATTTGAAGTGCCTTAAATCGGATAAGTTTGAAACTAAATCCGATAAATACATATTTGTGGGATATTCAAAGCAGATATTTGAATATAAATTCTATTATTGTGAAGAAAGTCTTCATCTCACGACATATCGTCTTCTTAGAGAGAATGTTTACTCTAGGGGAGGACAGTGGGAGCAAAATAGAATATGAAAGAGTTCAAAAGTCCACAAATATAGTTAGCCAAATAGATGAATTCGCGTTTGATCCCATATCTAATATGGGACATACTTTTGATCAAGAAGTAGAGACTCCTGAGAACATGATAGCTCTATTTAAATCTAGTAAGATCATTCGACCTTGAAGAAGGTGCGAATCCACAATTACTAATCAGGTATTACTGATCAAGGATAATGAACCTGCTAGTTGCACTAAAATAAAGTCAAGTGTTGACTTCAAAGAGACAGCAAGAGGCCATAAAACTCGAGATGAACTCGACGTATGTAAATAAGGTTTGGACCTTGGTCAAGCCTTCTGATGGAATAAAACCCATAACTTTTTGTAAATAATTTACAAGGAAAATGTCGATATGGATGTGAATATCCATATATACAAAGCAAGGCTAGAAGCAAAGGTTAAGTGATGACCTTGGTGAAACCTTTCTCCTGTAGCTTTGCTGAAGTTCATTTGGGTTTTGCTTGCAACAGTTGCATACCGTGACTATAAGTTAAGAGAAGTCTCTTGGAGTTGAAATATTCGATTTGATGAAAAAGTCAAAGTATTTGATTTTATCAAATTTGAAGACAAATTGTGTGTTTACAAGAAGATAGTGAAAATATTGTCGTATTCCTAATATTATAGAAAACAACATCCCTCTGTTTCAATCGTTGAAATAATGTTTGTTAAATGATTTATTCATGAACGATATAGGAGAAGCAACTTGATCTATAGAGGTAGATCTAGAAGATTGCTTAACTCATCCCAATTTACATAGATGAAATCTTGAGAAGATTTCATATGGAGTACTGAATTACTCTGAAGCGATATGTTGGAAAGGTTCCAAATGTGAAGCAACCGTTGATTCAATAGTAGAAACCTAATACATGATTATTTCAGAAGTAGCAAAGAGTTGCAGAGTAGATCATGATGTTCATAAATGAACTTGGAGTAGTTCCTGATATTGTTGATCACATGCCATTGTATTGTGATAACAATAGAGCCATTGCGAAAATATAGGAACTAAGGTCTCATCAATTATCTAAACATGTATTAAGGCGGTATAATCTCATCAAAGAGATAATACATAGAAATGACGTAAAGAGAAGAACAAATTCCCACATTTAACAATATTGGAGATCCACTAACAAAGAGTTGTCGTAGCATAAATATGATTGTCATGTAGACTCTTATGATATTGGATACATAAGTGATTGGATCTAATGCAAGTGAGAGTTTGTAAGTATTATGCTCTAGGTCCAATCAACCTTGGACATAAATACTTTTGATATATAATTAATGCAATTTAATGACAAATCTATTATTTAATTAATAGACAATTAAATAAATAATAGAGTCTGTAGATTCAAATTTTCGTAATTTGTTAATCACAAGGAATTGTGACTGTGAGATATAAATTACGTATGATTGAATCTTAAATCATTCGTGGTAGTAAGTAATAACGAGATACGGATATCGTTATTACGGATAAATCATCACGTGTGACATTTCTTATTTGTGAAGTAAGTAGTTGATCTCACAAGTTAAAGTTGGTGACATTTAAATGAACACGTGGATATTTTGTTATAGAGCAAAACATTGGAGACCTACCGAGAGATTCCACATGGATAACTATCTGAGTGTCAGTTATTAATCTCTAATATTTGGTAGTGAGATTGGTCCTTTGACTTGAGGTTGTCATAGTACCTTATATGAGGACAGTCATACTTTGGTGGTGTTGAATATTGCTCTGCAAAAAGCGACTAATACGACATCGTTCGGGTACGTCAAGAATCGTATGAAGGTTGTGATTGACTAATAAAGAATTCATCACTCTTAGATAGTAGAAGATTATGATCTGCGTTTCATTCAATTAAGTCAATGATGAAATCCTTGGCCAAGGTGTACTCCTAAGTCGAAAAGAAGTTTTCGACTTATATTGACTTAATAATGGAGTGAAAGAAATGATCGATAATCGAAATTGACACACTTCCATATCTCTTAATTGATCAGATGATATTGACGAAAGGATTATAGTTTTACGGTAAACGAACGAGTTTGGTCTTGTCATACTAGGTGACATTTCCCGTCATATGTATTGCTCTGACACATTACTAGATGTTAATCTAAGACAACGAGTGCAAATTGGTGATAAATTAAAAGAGTGTTTTAATTTATCAATTTTGATTAGATCAAAATAATATTTCACGTCGTTAGACATAGTGATCGGGAACCTGATGGGTCGCACACAAAAGGAGAGTTGGAAGATTGTAATTTATCAATTAATTAATTTAACAAGCGTTTGATAAATTAATTAATTAGATTGCATATTGGCTCGAATTAATTAATTGGATTAATTAGTTTACAGACCGAATTTAATTAAATGAGTTAATTAAATATTGGATCGGGTCAGGCCAAACCCGTTCGGATTTATATAAATATGATTAGGGTTTTCAAAATTGGAGTGATTTTCATTATTCTTGCTAGCACAATAAAAAAACCCTAATACTGCAATCTTGTTCTCTGTGTGGATCACCGTTGGAGGCTGGACAATTGGGCAGCTGTGGGAGATAGATCTAAGTTGTTGGAACAAAGATATGATAAAGAAGTTTGCAGATCTTGTAAAGGTACATCTTTATCACAATTTCTATCTAAACACAAAAGCGATTCTTGGTGGGAATCGAAAATAATTTTAATTTTTCGCTGCGCATGTTAAGTAGATTTTCAACACTTTGTACAGTCCAATGTGGATTGTACAATGAGAAATACCCTGACATAAAATTTGATTCCTGCGTGCCTGCCACCAAATAAACTACTAGGATATTTCTCCTTGCACAGCCCAAACTACTATGACTGGTGCATTGATAATTACAATATCTCCTAAATGTGTTTAATCTTCATTAAAGTTTAAACTGTTAAACTATTAGACAGATCAATATATTAATTGGAATCACAAAAAATTAGAACTTCAGGAAAACAGTTGCAGATGCAAATAATTACAGTATTGCATAGTTGAATGACGATTAGTGATATGCACTATGCTTCTCAATCACAACTTTTGGAATTGTTATTAATGGTTGTAGTCATAGGTCGGTTTGGTATATATTCTTTAAACTTAATTTTATTTAAATAATCTCTCAACAGATAGTTTTGTGGTCTCATGACTTTTTACTACTTTTTAAAGTACGTATTCTCCAAAAATTTTTTTTTTTTCAAAATTTATTCTTCGAATATCACATCAAATTGGTCGAGGTGTTTGAGCCCCATTTTTATGAACAATGCATTTTAGAATAGTAAATTGATGAAAAATATGTGGTTGAAAAATAATTTTTTTTAATTTACGTATAATATTATTTTAATAAAGAATGTGTGATTAAAAATAAAGAAAGAAAAATGTACTTTGAAAAAAAAAAAAAAAAAAATTTTTTTGCCTTTTTTTTTATACTATATATTGACCCACGGATGGCAGTGGGTCGAGCCGAGCCAGCTCGGCTCGTTAACCCACGAGTTCGGCTCGGACTCGCGACGAGCAGGCTCGAGCTCGGACCCGTCATTTGACGAGCTCGAACAGTCCACGAGCCAAGCCGGTTCGATCCAATTGACATCCCTACCCACGCTTGAATAATTTCATATTGCGTTAGTTGCTCTGTCTTTTCAGTTAGATCTCGACACGATATTTAGTGGGAAATGTTGGGTGTACCAACAGTCACAACAATGGGTCCCACACGGCACCACTTGTATAAAAAAAATAAAAATAAAAAAGGCACCCACGCAACCCGGTGTATGTAGTGTTCGGTGAATCCATACCTGCACATACAGTATCACAATCCCTATTTTAGTACAAGAACTTCTCGTGAATTTAATACAACGAGCTCGTCTTTTTGTTTTACACAACCTGTTCTGCTCTTGAGAGGGATCCAATCCATACTCGTCTAAGGTGAGTCAGTTTTTCAAATTTTACGTTATTCCAAGTTCATTCACAATCAATCAGTTAATTAAATTGTTCAATTGATTTTATTTTTTAGGAATTTTGAAAAATAAAAAAAGGGGAATCTGAAAATGGCAAGTGGAGTAGAACAAGATAAATCTCTGCAGTCAATATGTTACAAGCGTGGTTCACTTCAGCTGCTCGATCAGGTACATCTTTTGATAAGCACACGAATTAGGTTGTTGTTAATAATAATTGAAAACTTAATCACCCAAGTTGAATCCTTGACTTTAGTGAATTCTGGGTTCATTCTTAAAGCTTTGTTTCTGAATTTTTGCAATCATTTCTATTTTAGTTCCCAGTTCATTAATTCTTTGGAAGTAATTCTTTTGATTTCTATTTATCTTTTTGGGTTGTGCAGAGAAAGCTTCCATTGGAGACCATTTATTTGGAAATCCGACACACAAAAGACGGATGGTAATCAATCCTTGCTCTGTGTTCTTATTTAATTTTTTAAAAAGATAGAAAATTTTCTTTCAATATCATCAAGAACAAAGGGAATTTCATCTAAAAGCTTCAGCTGAGGCCGCTAGTAGATATTTAAAATCTACATGCCTTTTTCATGCTGGTTATATTCAATTTTTCTCAGTCAAATGTCTGATACATGTAGATTTTCATAGTACGTATTTGCCTGGTTGTAATACCATGTTGATTATCTTATCTATAAGCGTGTATTTGTCTAAATCTTATTTTCGACATTTCAAAGTCATTCCACAAACAACAATGTCATTGATTATCTTGGCCATGTCCCAATTTAAAAGCTACTTTTCACCAATTATTCTCAAGTGTCCATTTCAAATGAGTAATCCATGATGCCTTTTTCTAGGCAGTCTCCACTTCGGTACGCAATTCTGTGATCACACTCTGAGTCCCCATCTAACTTGACTTCTATTCAGCAGAGAAGTTAATAGCTATTTATGCTGCCAAGTACTCTACACATTGAGTTGTCAAACTCTTATTTCCTAGACGAACCAAATCATATTCTCATTTCCAGTTTCTGATCACTAATCTGCCTTTAGTGGACTTTTCTTATTTGAAAAATGCTGCAGCAACAACTTACTAAAAATTTTCTTCTGGTTGCCACATCTGCGATGAACTTTAGCTGTTGTTTCAGTCTCCATATCCATAGCTTCTCTGTGTCGTCTTTCACATCCTCATGCTAAATTGTTAAGGGTAGCAGCTCTATCTGGCCAGTATTATACATCACCTGTTCACCATAACAGAGTACTTTTCATGGTAAATAACTCGACAACAACAAAGAAAGTCACATAATTTCCATGTAGCTCTGAGTATTGTTCCCCTCATCGTTCTCCTTCCAAAATGGTCTTATGGGACCGATCCGGAATCAAGATGATTTATTTCTACTAGTACACTTTTTTCAATATACCCCTTATGTCCTACATCATTGACAAAGCACATATCTACATTGCAAGATAGCATTCTTTCAGAGGGCGAGTGTTTTGGTGCGGGAGAGATGTGCTAAAACCACAATTGGGAAGTAATGGCAGCTGTTAGTAAGAAGCTCCCTGGAAACGTCACTGCCGCTGTCAAACCTTATATAGAGGAATGCATTGCTATACTGGAGGGATTAACCTTTCCCTGCATGCATGAATTTGCCGTTACCATGACTGAATCTGATTGTTTTAATGCTGTCCTGTCCATGCTGTGAATATCCCACTAATACATGCAACCGAGGGGACTCTTCTCTCTAGGATTTCTGAATTAATGAGTTGTTTTTCTTTAGTTTTTTCATTTGGTAAGGCGGAAAGCGAATAGTGTTGCTAATGCCCTCGCAAAATTTGCCATTTAATGTTCAACTCAATCAGTATGGATTGGGGAGTCCTCAGGCTTCACTGCCTGCCCTTGTACTCCATGATATTTCTGAATGAAACTACCATCTGTTGGAATTTTACTGATTCTCAATCTAGCTTTGGTAGGTAAAATGTTCTAGTAAACTTTCTAGAGAAGGATCTTCATGTTTCTAAAAACCTTTAACCTCCATATTTTTCCAGTCACTCTGCTGCCTCCACTTGACTCTGCAATCTGCTGCACAATCTTTCCGTGCAGATTGTGATAAACTTTACCGAAGTATGCACATTTGATTTAGAACTTACTGTTCTTGATGTAATGCCTGATCAGCTCTGTTGCATGGATACTTGAACAAGGGTGATGTGTCCGTTCAGATATGGGTCAAATATCGACACTGCTCGAACACTCTGGTCATTTTTCTTTCTTTATAAAAAATACTATATATTTTTAATTCTTAGTTATTATTGAATATAAATAGGTACTTATATTTACAAGAATTCAACAAATAAAATAAAAAAAGGATAAAACTAAATTTATATTATATAAATAAAGAATTTAAAAGAATTTAATCAATGTATCGACAACGTGCCATGTGAGTACTTTTTTGAAAAATTGCGTGTCGGGTTGTCCGTGTCAGTTGATATAGCTGAACGATATATCTGTGTTGTTCTGTATTCCAAATGATTGAAAGTTCCATGTCCATTGTCATCTTCTGATAAAATTTGTAATGTGCATTCCTCTTCCCTAACCATCTGGCTGTGTTATAATATGTCTTGACATCTTATGACTTGAAACTTGGGAAGTAAATTTGTAGAAATTTTTTGAATGATCTATTCCACTAAGTCACACAAATATTTTTTCTGTGCTAAGTTTGTCTTTGTAACAACCATATAATTTACTTCAGTGTATGCTTATTTATTTTGTATTCTGATCACAGCTAAGTTTTATTCATATATATGTGGAGAAACCCAGTATATAAATTTTAGATGAGTTGCAGTTTATGGATTCACACTAGTATATGTCAGTATGAAAGTATTTATTAGAAAAAAGACTGTCCGTTTGATGACCACCTTGATTGTACACGAGTGCAGGACCCATTTTAAAGTCTCACGTATCTCTTGACATTTCCTCTTTGTTTCTTGAGTGATGATTTTTTTCTCCCAATGCTTATTCTTCCATCTACACTTTTGTATCTATGTAGATCAGATCCCCCTCACAACCACCAGGCGCACACTATCCACACAAATGGATTATGCATGTCTCCTGGATTTAAGTTGTTTTGATTTGTGAAGACGACAAAGGAGAAAGGGAAGATACACTTCCTTCTGAAGAAGTGTTAATTTTTTAACTACAAATATTTAACAACCAAGGGAGGGGGAAGGGAAAAAATTGGGAGAAATTTAGCAGCAAGAGGTAGAAAGTGTGCTGTTATAATTTACAGTTAAATCATTCTTGGTTTATCTATTTTAACTGAGTTTAGTTTAGTTTTTTAGTGCTTTATCACCCTCCCCTTCCCCTCCAATTTGGTAGGGGAAAATTGGGCCTTTATGTCCTCGCCCTCAGTTCACCCAAGTCAAGTAAGGTGATTTGTACCCTTTGCTTCTGCTTCTACTTGCCTCTCATTTCTGTGTTTCCCTTATGATATGTTTCAACAGGACTGCAATAAGAGACATGGTTGTTCGTGGTGCACCAGCAATTGCCATAGCTGCTGCCCTCTCCTTGGCAGTAGAAGCTTCTAACTTGGGGGCTTTTAATGGGACATCTGATGATGCAGCATCATTTCTGAGCAATAAACTGGAATATCTCATCTCAAGGTAATTGTTGCTCTACATGGAAAACCTCAATGTACTTCCATTATCTGCCATTTGACATTATTGCCTAGAAGCATAGCAAACTCAGTATCTTAAATGCAGCCGCCCAACAGCTGTTAATCTTTCAGATGCTGCAACAAAACTCAAGGACATCATACAGAAGGCTGCTTCCAATGCTTCGGAAGCACAAACTGTCTTTCAGGTTGACACTGTCATATCTTATGGAAAAACTGTGACTTCTCGGTAATTGATCATAGGCTACAGGACAGAGTACGAGAGAAGACTTCGTAGAACCATGCATATATTGCTTAAAGTCTCATGCACACATCTGTGTAATTAGGTACAGAACATAACAAAGTAGTAGTCTCTTTATGTGAAGCTAATATTTTCATTATACAGGCTTACATTAAAGCTGCTGAAGTCATGCTTGAAGACGATGTTGCTTCCAATAAAGCAATTGGATCCTATGGAGCTAGATTCCTTCAGAAGCAGCACAATGATTCTGAGAAGCTTTCTATTTTGACCCATTGCAACACTGGCAGGTACCATTTGTTAATTTTTGCCCCTATTTCTTCAACTCTCATAATCCTCAGAATTGCTCCAATCACTTGGGCTTTCTTGTATTGTTGACATATATTGTGAATCTAATTTTTCCAAATAGGGTTCTTTAAATGTCATAATTTTACTTTCAAAATAGTCTTGCAACGGCTGGATATGGAACTGCACTTGGTGTGATTCGTGCACTTCATGCAGATGGTGTTCTTGGAAGAGCTTTCTGCACAGAAACACGCCCATTCAATCAAGTGAGTGTTGCTACTTCTTCGTATTTTATACCAGTGTAGTTAAAATAAATATAAATAAATAAATAAAAACTCTGCTCAAGTGTTATGGTCGGGTTTAATATGAAATTAGGATGTCATTGCAATGATTTTTATTTTTGAAGAATGGAAAAGTAATCTGTTGATGTGTTTCCACTACTCTCTATTCATGTCATTAGTAGTACAACAAAAATAAGGCGGATAATGTTACTTGTATATAAGAAATTACATAATGGTTTACATATAGCTGAGTTGTCAAAAATGGAGTGGAGAATATTTTTTATTTTTTGGTTAAAGAAATTTTGATCCAATCATATCTCATCACATCATGTGTATGTAATTTATTATGTAAACATATTATGCACATGCAGCACAACCAAAATAAGGCAGTTTGTAGAGGCTAAATATCATATCTGAGATTATAAATATAAGGTAGTGCTCTACAAGAAGTATGTCCAAATTGCTTGATCCTAATTTGGCTAGTCTAAATAGCTAATACAAACACATGGCTTTTGAATTTTCTAATATGATTAAATGGAAACCAGAGAGTTGTCAAGTATGATCTTCAACGACTCTATTTATGGACAACCTGGACTTCAAAGCCTATACGATGTGCATTCCAAACTTGACCACAAATTAAGGAGTGGTTACAAGTATATCGGTGTAGTAAATACATTATATTGACATCATTACTTTATTTAAGAGTGTTTAGATAGCTTGTTAGAAGGATATAACATCTTCAACTATATTCATATCACTCGTACTCTACTTCCTTCATAGTTATGCTTACACGTGGCACAAATACTTCACTTCCTTCACACATATGCTTACACATTGCACAAATGCTTTACTTCTGAGAGACTTCTCTATTATGACTCTTTTTCTTTTTTTCACCTTTTTATTTTTTCGGAATGAAGCTGCAACAAATTTTCATCTTAGCATCTGTTTAGTTTGTAAAATGTGATTTGGCTGTTGCGGACTGTCCAGCTGCTAAGTATGTTGTAAAATGTGTAACTTTTCCTTACCTCAGTTGTGGGCATTGTTCTCATTTTGGAAGCATTACCTTTAATATATAATGCTTTTGTTAAAGGGAAACTGGAATTAAAAGTTTGAAAACTTATATCAAGATAAGAGGATTGAACTAACTCCAGGTGTTAAGCTTTTTAACATCCTGGCGTCGAGGGAGTTCCTCTATTCAATCCTTTTCCTTCTTCTTGTTGCTGGATATCTCGTTCATACACAATTAGTTTTTAGAATCAATAGGTTTTTTAGCAGAAAGACAGGTATTCCTTGTGCATTATCAGACAATCACTTATTCACAAGTATTTTCTTTGTTGCGAGAATTTGTATTTTGAGTTATTGCTCAAAAGAATCCTGATACCAAGCTTCTTTTTTTTTTTAATTTCCTTTCTTTCTTTTGAAAGTATTCTGAACAGGATTACCATGTGGCCCAAAATGATAATCACTGCTCCTACATTTTCTAATTCTGTGTGGATCCGATAGAGGTTTTTAATTTTGTTATCTGAGCTTCTGTGCTTACTTTCTTGAATTGACCTCAGGGATCAAGGCTCACAGCATTTGAGTTGGTGCATGACAACATTCCTGCCACTTTAATAGCTGATTCTGCTGCTGCGGCATTAATGAAAACTGGGAAAGTGAATGCCGTGATTGTTGGGGCTGATCGTGTTGCAGCTAATGGTACTAAAGGCGTTCTCTCCCTCCAATTGAATTTCCATGCTAACTTCCAAGTTTTCCCTCAAATATTTGATCATATTTTAGGTGATACTGCCAATAAGATCGGAACGTACAGTCTTGCCCTTTGTGCAGTGCATCATGGTATCCCATTTTATGTGGCCGCTCCTCTCACTTCCATTGATCTGTCACTTTCTTCTGGGCAAGAAATTGTTATAGAAGAAAGATCTGCAAAAGAACTGTTGAATGCTCGAGGAGGACTGGGAGAACAAGTTGCTGCTTCTGGAATTTCTGTTTGGAATCCTGCTTTCGACATTACCCCAGCTAACATTATTAGTGGCATCATTACAGAAAAGGTCTCTCTGTCTCTGTCTCTCTCTCTCTCTCTCTCTCTCTCTGTGGCAAGCGATCATGCCCATCCACACTTTTTGACTTAATGTTGCTGTGCAAATCTTTGAGTTGTAGCACCTGATTTTCTTGTCACTACTTACAAATGTCCAGGGTGTCATAACAAAAGATGGGAGCGATTCATTTGATATTAAAAGTTTCATACTAAAGGTACTGAGCAAGGAGTAACATAGAAGCACGATATCCCACCATCAGAGATGAACATCCCGCCTGTGGCTGATACTTTTTCAGTGTTGCCTTCAAGAGGCATCTAACAGCTCATTACGCTTCAGGTGTTCTTATTTTATGCGTAATTTATTTGTGCGGTTTAAGTAAACAAATTTCATGCTTTCTTTCGTGTGTTTACTTCCCGAGGGTCATCCATGTTTACTTAGTTACTTGAGTCTCAAAACCAGATACGATAAGAGATTTGTAGCTAGTTAACATGAAATATGAAGTTGTCACTTGACATTTCATCAATTGTTGTAGGCTTACCTGTCTCGGTAAATTAACATAGGTCAGCAATGGTAATATTTCGAGTAATCTACTATGACAATACATCGATTCTATACCAAATTAAGACTACAGTACTTTCTCTGGCAAATCAGCGATACTGTAGAAGAAAATTGAATTAATATCAGAATTAGTGCCAACTTCACATAATCAAAAATGAATAAGGAAACGTATTTTAACAGTAATCCGAAATCAGCTTGATGAACATTGACTATGAAAATAAAACTGTAAATATAATGATAGAAAATCAGATCCGGCATGGCTGGGAGGTAATTGCAGCAACTGACGGTAGGAGAACGTTGGGCAACGATTTCTGAATATGGATTGTAAACTGTACTAATTGATAGGTGAACGGAGAGAGAAGACAATAAAAAGACGTCAAATGTCACCCAATTTTGCTGGATTTGAAATCCATTAATCTTTACCCTGAAATCCATCAGTTCTGAAACTGGATAGAATTTCATGTCAATACTGGGCATCCAGAAATGGGAAGTTTCAAGTGCTGTGAGATGAAACACAGAATCTCTAAGCATTGGGCCGAATTTGATGGCAATTATCTTTAGGAAAAATGATGTTTTGAATAGTGATTTTTTTGGAGAATATGTATAATAAAAATATGAAAATTTTTTGAATTTACGTACAAAATATTTTATTGTATGAATATCTCCCGTTGGCCCCCATTATTTTAGTTTATAATTTTTGAAATAGTAATTTTTTTTTTTTTTTTTTTTTTTTTTTGAGAATGTGTAATATTATTTTATAAAAAATTATGTGATCGAAAATAAAGAGCAAGAAAATTATAATTTGAAATAATGGGCCAAATGGGGGGCTAATTGACAGACCCAATGGCATCAGCTCAACAACTCCAAATCACTCCATTCCGAAGCATAAAATTATTTTCATTTTTATCCTCCATGAAATGAATTGTCACACTGCGGTTGAGGACAGCCTTTGCCATCAATCAAACCGCACTGATATGCTCAAATTAGACGAAATTTTAATGCAGAAAATTAATTTAGATCATAAAACTGAGAATAGCACAAGCAATTTGAGCAATTTTTTCAGTCATCGGCCAAAAAATTCAAGAAGCATTCTTAATTAGTTCATTAATTCCCAAATGGAGAGATCGCCTCAAGCACATACCCAATAAATAAAGATCAACATTTAATCGAAATCTAGAAAAATCTAGAAAAGGGCAGTACCTTGATAAAGCCAATTTCCTTGGCGTTGCTGCGGAAACACTGCCTACAGGACATCAGTCATACTTCCTAATGATACCATGTGGATTTCCACAGACGCGGCTGTTCTTACATAATCATCAACATAAAACTTGTTCAATTTAAATTTAGCATAACAAATTTTAGTTCTGACCCACTTTCTCCTCTCTCAGAAACCCTAGCTTCGTTTTCGAAAGAGAATGAGGCGCTGATAAATAACTATAGAATGAGGATGAAATTAATGATTTAGAAACGTTGAAGGATGAAATTGACAATGTGAAATAGTGGAAGGATGGATTTCACATTTGTAAATAGTTCGTAGATGAAATTGGTGATTTAAAGTAGTGGAGGATAAATTTACTTTATTTAATAGCTGGAGGATGAAATTCATGTTTATAAAAGTTTGAGGACAAAATTGATGATAAAGAATAGTTGAAAGATGAAATTGATAACATAGAATAGTTGCAGGATGAAATTGTACATATAGAATCGTTTGAGGACAAAAGTTAATTGATTAATAACTTAAGGATGAAATTGATGATATAGTAAAGTTGAAGGATGGAGTTTACATTGTTAAATACATGAAGGATGAAATTGATGATAAATTATAGTTGTATGATGATATATACGTTATGCAATAGTTGAAGGATGAAATTTATGTTATCTAATAGTTAAAAATTGATGGTTAAAATAGTTGAAGGATAAAATTTGACATATCAGATAGTTTGAGAGTGAAATTGATGATTATAATAATTGGAGAAAAAATTTACATCATTAAATAGGCGAAGGATTGAATTGAAATTAACTAATTGTTGAAGGATGTAATTGATGATTACAATAGTCGAAGGATGAAAATTTATTCCTAAATAGATGAAGGATGAAATTTACATTATCTAATTATTGAAGAATGAAATTATTGATTAAAATAGTTGGAGGATGTAATTTTTAATATTTTACAACGCATTTCGGCCCTTCATCTATTTGAGTACTTCAATTCGATCCCTCAACTATTAATTTCATGCAATTGTGGTGCCCATTTCGAAGAGGTGATGAGGGGGATTGCGGAAGTACATAAAATTTTATGTATTTTGATGTAAAAATTATACAAATTTTATGTAGGCAATATAATCCATATGAAAATCATGCTTAAATAAATTAAAAATTTTTAAACTCATAACCTTCTTACAGTATGTATAAATTGATGACTTCTTCTTACGCTTTCTTTCTGTATACACTTTTGTCTCACTTTGATGAATCAATGGGTTGAGATAATTTTCACACTAGAGTTTAGGATTTTTAGCAATTGCTTGCCTACTATCTCTTACTAAAATATTTTCTTTGCATTTTTCTACTAGAAGATTTCT